GACTTCACGGCAAAATTAGCTTCTTCTATGATGAGAGTAATTAGGGAAAATCCATTCAATAGTATAACTTTGACTTCTTTTTAATCCCAATATTTAATTTAATTTTAATACAAACTTTATATTATATTAAAGAAGAGTGAGAAAACTATATGTTTACTGAAAGGGGTATAAATGGAAAAAGGTTGAGAATTTCTTCACTGCAGGCAGGCAGATTTCATCTAAATGTAAGGAAGAACTTTCTAGTAGTTAGAGCTGCCTACCAGTAGAGTGGGGTGCCTTGTAAAACAGAAAGCTGTCTTTCTATCACTAAAAGTCTTTAAAGAGAGCTAACAGGACATTTTCCCCAGGATGTAGCAGAAACTCCTGATTTAGGAAGCAGCACTGATCAGATCATTGCCTCTCAAACTATGGCAAAGAAGTACTTTTAATTTTTAATCAGCATGGACCAATAGTTTTATACAATACAAAGTATCACACATTTAGATAACACAACAATGTCAACTTGTTATAAAGGTTTCTAAATGTTTGCTTTTGATTTCTGTTTTAACTTGTTGCACTCAGGTAACAATAAACTATGGCCTAGCAATAATAGGCAAACTACACTTTGAAATCTCTACAGTCCGATGGTTTTTCAAATTTTCCTAGTCTGTCTTCTCCCCTTCTCTATAAATTGGGTATTTATATCAAACTACTAATGTCATAACAACTAACCTCTTTCTTCAGCAATTTAAGAAAAGCAGTAACTTAAAAGACATTAGCACAAGAGCATTAGATCAAGGACCTGAGATTTTTTTATTACATTAATTTTTTATCTCAATAAATTAAAAAAGCAAACTTTACTTTTTACCAAAACACATTTGAATGCTCATTTAAAACTAGTTACAAAGAAATTTATTTTCAGCCATTTCCCACACCTAATTTTCTGGTGTCACTTTCTTTACACAAGCTGATAATGAAATGTGTAAGAAATTACAGATGCACACACTTGAAGTTCCAAATTTATTCTACCAGCTGGTAGCAAAACCAACAGAAAAGTTACTCGGGGCTGCAGTGGGGGAACATATTCATGAATTTCAGAAGCATTGGGTAGGGGATTTAAGTATTTGCAAGCACCTGTAACACCCAGTAATGACTTGGCCAAAGCAAATATGGTGAGGAGGCAAAATTAAGAGTTGCCCATTCTCATACTTCCCCCAATACTCCTGGTTTTCTCTCTCCAAAGGTGACGAGATATTTTTGTTTAAAATCTGTTATCTTCTCTCCATTAAAAACAAAACAACCTTCCTTCTCAAAAGATAATTTTTCAGATTTATGAGCTATCATCTCCCAACTCTATCATACACAGTAGTTCCAATATTCCGTAATTCACTACACTTCTACTGAAGCAGGAGTTCTTACCTATGTGCATCTGTATACGGGTTTTAGGAGATCTATGAACTCTCTGAAACTCCACATGCCTTTAAGTTTTGGGTGAATGAGCAATTACATGAAAAAAAATGTCCACAGCTGTCAATAAATTCTTAGAGGGTACAAGAATCTAAAAAAATTATGAGCATCTTTCGTAAATTAAAAATGTGACTTGAAGAGAATCATAGGGTGCAGGTTCTTCATTAACTGTACAGGTATAAAAGGTTATTAAGTCATGTAACCAACGAGGACTTTAGAAATAAATCCCTTCATTTTGGAGATGATAAAACTTGCATTTGGAGAAGTTAAGGGAGTTTCAAGGCCACAATGCTGGCTGGAAGGCAGAAGCCAGAAAAAAATGCTGGCCTCCTGCTCGTGGGTCCATTCTCTCACATCCAGCTATCCACACAGGGCCAGACAGGAGTAAAGCACACTACAGTGAACAATCCCACCTCTGCTAAATATACCATCTCAGAATCAATCATGTAATTCTTTAAACGCTACTGGCTCATAAGATACATAAACATTTTCTGTTTTACTAAAGGTATCTAAAAATCATATTCTTAGATACATTTTAGAACTTGCTTCCTTGCCAACAGGCACAATCAACAACTTGTCAATCATCTGAAAGACATGAGTGCTTGATCCTACTGCAATCAATCAGAGAAGGGCATTCACTGGACCTAGAAGGGACACAGGATGTTTAGGAGACACAGAGCTTCGAGGAGGCACTTAAACACATTTCTTTCTCAGTCAATTACTCTGAAAGCCCACAATACGAAGTAAGTTAGTTGAGTGGATCTTTCAGTAACTGTTGAAGCTGTTCAGAAATTTTAAGCAAAACCTCTTTTCAAAGTTTATTCTCATGTTTATTCACACTAAAGAACAGCAAGTGCAAAAAACCAACAGAGATGATGCCTAGTGAAAAGAATTTTTATAGTAAGTAATTAAGTGAGAAAGCTGAAAAAGAATGCCTTATTTTGGTGTCAGTAAGGATGGATACGAATCCAAAATTTGTTTTTAGTTTTGTTCAAAATAATTAGAAAATTGAAAGTTTATAAATAGGAATCCAAGAAACCCTTCGCTTTCCTCCCCCCCTTGACTTCTGAAATACAGTGCAACTTTCTACCATCTGCTATTTTAAAGCAGAAACAGTAATGAACATATGGGCTTTCTCTCTCAAGCAGCTGTAGTGTAGTTAAAGTTATAATAATTGTCTTTCTGTAAGATAAATTTACATTAAAAACCTGGCCAGTTAAAAACAAATGGCTCAGCCTCACAGCCTTCCAGAATAAAATTAAGAAATTTAGAATCATCTATGACATATTACATTCATAGATTTAGAGGAAATCCTCTAACTCTTGTGCTTTTTATATTCAGGGTTAAATAAATATAATTCATGGTGCCCAAATCAGTTTATACAATCAAAGAGTTCACAACTCATGTTTTCTTTCTTGATAAAAATGGTAAGAGCATCAAATAGGTTCAGGTACTCTTTTATAAAAAACAGCAACTAAGTTCTTGAAAGCTTTTAATATAAATCCATTACTTCTGTGTGTCACTGAACTCCAACCTAAAGGCTTATTTATTTATGATAAAAATCATAATACATGTGGCACATAAACTTCCATCTCAACTATGTATCATTTATGAGTTTAAGTAAACTGAAAGGAATTCACAGCATATTGTGATCCACATATGATAAAAAATAGGAATTCTACCTACCTTTATCTGGGTGATTCAAAATCATAATTCTCCTATGAGCTGTTCTAATCTTGGCCTTGCCAGCAGATGGGCTGTAAAAAGAAATTAAAGTGCTTATAATAAATAGTGCCAAATGCAGATTATAAATTAACAGTTTATATGGGTTTCAAGAAATTAAAACCTAATGAGAATTTCACCATCTTGTGGACAAATATGAAATTACAGTTTTTCACTTAATTCCACTAACTATCAAAATAAATCATTGATACAATGCTGTATGTGTTTTTCTTCAGTCCTTTGTAATGCCAGTCCTTAGTCTCAATAAATTTAAAAAATAAAACACACTATATAGGTCGGGGGAGTCTTAGTCTGCAGAGTATATCGTAAGTTTGAAAGCTTACGCTTCTAAGTTATTTGGGGGGAAGGCAGTGTATACAGTGTGTTAGACAGGTATTTGGATTTCAGAGCTAGACTGTTGGATTTTAATCCTAGCATTATCATTTAGACTGGGTAAACTTTGTCCAGTTTTTAACTGCTTTGTGCTTCAGCTTCCTCGCTGTAAAATAGAGCTAGCAATAACAAATTCCTCATAGAGCAATAGTAAGGATTGAATGAGGTAATGCCTATCAAGTGCTACAACAGTACTTGGCATGCCACAAGCCCTCCGTGATAGTCATCTTTTCTTTTTATCTTTCAGAGGATCTCAAAACACCTTATATCTCACAGTTTATTTAGCTTTTGTGAGAAGCCTGTGGTAAAAGCTTGGTTGTTAAAGCCTATGCTGTAAACAAAAATTAAAGTAGAAAATTAAACAGACCTAAAATTATTTTGGTAAAACCTAATTTATCCAGTTTTGGAAATGTTTCTCATTAGTACATTTTCTAGGCAAGGAAAAAAAATAGCACTAACAACAACAAAATCCGTGCTGTGACTGAGCAAGGCAAAAAGAAAGAAAAAATAAAAAACAAAAAAATCCTACTATTGCTACTCAATAGCTATGCTATTTTATCTAAGCTACTTAACTTTTCTGGGCCTCAAATAGGGATAATAATAGCTGACTTAAAGTAGGGGTAGTTGTTGTAAAGATCAGCAGAATTTAATTTGCATAGATGAACCACACTGTAGTGGCTAGAAGCAGGTACTTTTAGAGCTATTCAGATATAGGTTCAAAATTCTGATTCTTCCACTCATTAGCTATGAAATTTTTTCTTGCTCACTTAACCTCTGAGTTATAACTTTCTCATATGTAAAACGCACATAATAAAATCTACCTCCCAGGATTATTTTAAAGATAAACTAGATGATGTAAGTAAAAAGATTACCACGACCTAGCATAGTCAGTGTTCAAATAGTAGCTGTTATTAGGGATGAAAAGGATGCTTATGAAAATTTATTATATATTTCCTACTTTTAAAAAATAAAGTATAGTATAAATATCCTACTTTAACATTTCTTGAATGACTCAGAGCATTATCATGATATCAATTAAACGCAAAGAAACTCAATGTCTGTAGTGGTTTGCTTCTTCTGTCTGTTCTGAATAGTGCCTCTTCCTTGCTATCAGCTGTCAATCATTGATTTTGTTAGGGTTCTAGTCTTTAGCAGTTCCTTACCAGTTACTTGCCACCTCTAATCTTTGGGTAAATGTCAGTTCACTAAGCATGTTAAAATGTGCTATTAATTGCTTAATAAGCACATAAAATATTCTTTCATGAATAAAATGAATAAGACTTTTCATATAAGGACTTAACGGTATACCTTTTGGCTGTTTACGGAAGTCTCTAGGGGACCATATCAAACTTATTGTTCGGCTGTAGGTAACTCCCAGATAGACAATCAAACATTGTCTAGTTGCAAAGACCACTGAATTTTGAGAATGTAACCATTAAACATTGTGTCAGGGGTATGAACACTATATTGTTTAACTGCCTATTAAGAAATGAAAAACAATTGGTTGTAGGTATGTGGCTTTATTTTTGAGTTCTCTATTCTGTTCCATTAGATCAATGAGTCTATTTTTATACCAGTACGTTACTATAGCCTTGTAGTATAATGTGAAATCAGGTAATGTGATGCTTCAAGCTTTGTTCTTTTTGCTTGGGATTGCATTGGCTATTTGGGCTCTTTTTTGGTTTTATACGAATTTTAGGATTGGTCCTCTAATTCTGTGAAAAATGATAGTGGTATTTTGATAGGAATTGTATTGAATCTGTAGATTACCCAAAGTTATGGTTATTTTAACAATATTGATTCTTCCAATCCATGAGCCTGGGATGTTTTTCTATCTGTTTGTGTCATCTACGATTTCTTTTGTCATTATTTTGTATTTTCCTTATAGAGATCTTTCACTTCCTTGGTTAAATGTATTACTAGGTATTTTATTTTATTTTTGTAGCTATTGTAAATGGAATTGAGTGGTCATTATTGGTATATAAAAATGCTACTGATTTATGTACCTTGACTTCGTGTCCTGAAACTTTACAGAATTCATTTATCAAAGCAAGGAGTCTTTTGGAGGAGTCTTTAGGGTTTTCTAGGTATATCATCTCATCAGCAAAAGAGATAATTTGACTTCTTCTTTTCCAATTTGGATGCCCTTTCTTTCTTTCTCTTGCTTGACTATTCTGGCTAGGACTTCCAGGACTATGCGGAATAGAAGTGGTGACAGTGGGCAACCTTTTCTGGTTCCAATTCTTAGTGGGAATGATTTCAACTTTTCCCCATTCAGTATGATACTGGCTATGGGTCTCTCATACATGGATGGCTTTTACTATTCTGAAGTATGATCCTTTATGCCTAGTTTCTTGAGAACTTTTATCATGAAGGATGCTAAATTTTATCAAATGCTTTTTCTGCATCTATTGAAATGATCATATGGTTTTTGTTTTTAATTCTGTTTATGTGGTGAATCATGTTTACTTATTTGCATATAGTGAACCATCCTTGCATCCCTGGAATAAAACCCACATGATTGTGGTGTATCATCTTTTCGGTGTGCTGTTGGATTCTGCTTGCTAGTATTTTGTTGAGGATTTTTGCATCTATGTTCATCGAGGATGTTGGTCTGCAGTTTTTTTGTTTTTGTTGTTGTGTGCTTGCCTGGCTTTGGTATCAGGGTGACACTGGCTTCACAGAAGGAGTTAGGGAGGATTCCCTCATCTTTGATTTTTTGGAACAGTTTCCATCAGAAAGAGCTGGTAGCAGCTCTTTGTATGTCTGGCAGAATTCAGCTGCAAATCCATGTAGTCTTGGGGCATATTTTTCTTGGGAAATTGTTTATTACTGATTCAATCTAACTACTTGTTATTGGTCTGTTCAGGATTTCTATTTCTTCCTGGTTCAATCTTGGGAGGTTTTATGTTTCCAGAAATTTATCCATTCCCTCTAGGTTTTCTAGTTTGTGAGTGTAGAGATGTGCATAGCAGTCTCTGATGATCTTTCATATTTCTCTGGTATCAACTGTAGTGTCATTTTCATTTTTCAATGCACTTAATTGAATCTTTTCTTTTCTTGGTTTAGCTAGCTAGTGATCTATCAATTTTGTTTATTAATATCTTTTCAAGAACCAACTTTTTCTTTCATTGATTCTTTGTATTGTTTTTTTGGTCTCAATTTCATTTGGTTCTGCTCTGGTCTTTGTTATTTCTTTTCTTCTCCTGGTTTTGGGTTTGGTTTGTTCTTGTTTTTCTAGTTCCTTGAAATGGCTCATACTTTGAAAAATTCCAGTATGATTTAGTTTTCTGTGGCTAATATACATTTATCTTCCATTTTTGGTACTCTATAGAACTTCTTTCCTTTATTAGTATGTTTTCTAGTTGTTCTATATTTGATATGTCTCCCTAGGTAGATTCTAAATTACTTAAGGGTAGAAGCAATGATTTGCATCTTAAAATAGTATTTAGGATTGTATATGTAACAGATGCTTAATGCATTTAATATCATCCTCCAAGAAAAAATGATTATAAAAAGGTAAGCTCTTTAAAAAAACAAAGGTTCTACATTAGTAAATACTGACATTATAAAGGATCATATTGCAAAAATTTTGAAGTTAAAAAAGAGCTTTAAAAACCTTATTTCATAAAATTAATTAAATGAGGCCCATTAGATAAGATAAAAATTCACTAAAACTCAAATTTCCAATGTACATTTTTTGGGATATACGGTAAGTTCCATATTAGTCTAGATACTAAGTTTTAATTGAGCACATAAAACAAAATCTGAAAATTACTTCAGCCAAAATTATCCTTGAAAATCAATTACATAGCCTATAAAAAATAGTGCACATGGTTTTATTCATGAAACTCCATAAAGTATTATGTACACTGAGGTCTGCCTATCACTGAACTAGATGAAAGTAAAAAATACAAGCAAGGAAAGTTCTTATGTGCAAGTATGGGCATTCGAAACATTCTGCCTTTAAAATAATAATTATCAGACACCTAGGTGAGCTTTGGGGATGAGGGGAAGCATTCTCGCTTGACTGCTGGGTTTACTACCTTTTCGCCATTACTATATTAAGTCTCTAGGACCGTAATACATTTTAATACATTTGTTTGTCACTGTAAAAATTAGAAAAGATGGGAGAATTCTAGTTTTTAAACTTAGTATAAAAATTAAATGCAGCTGTGATGACATAACTCAAGTATACATACTTTTACCATGAAATTGAAAATGTAACTTTAAATATCATGTTCCCTAGACCAGAGATTTCAAACTGTGCTCCCTGGAATGCATCTGGCTCGCAGTGGGGTGTGTGGAACTGAGTGGTATCCCCCAACCTTGTGGCAAATGGACCAGTTTTGGTTTCATCTTTTATTTTTTTTACTATTGGCTTTTGAGTAATATTTAGTTTAAACAGCTCCACAGAAGTTTTTAGAAAGGTTGAAAATCACAAATGTGATCACTTCAGACAGTACAGTAAGTTCTCACTTAATGTTGTCAATAGGTTCTTGAAAACTGCAATTTTAAGCGAAATGACTTACAGCAAGTCCTCGAATAACATTTTTTTCCTTCAGTGTTGTTTCATTATAACATTGATGAGAAAAACATAATTGGTGTTGTTATATGTTGTTTTGCTTAAAGTCACAGTTTC